TCATATAGTCTTTGTTTTTTAACTTCTGTTTATGTGGTGAGTCACATTTATTGATTTGCATATGTTGAACCATCCTCACATCCCTGGGATGAAGGCCATTGGGTCATGGTTGTATATTTTTTGATGTCCCATTGAATTCAGTTTGCTAATATTTTATTGAGGATTTTTGGAACTCTAGTACCCAACATAGTGCCTGCCACAAATTGAGCGTTAATGAATATTTGACAAACAAATGAATTGAACGTGGTAAACAGAAGAAAATTCTTATATTCTATAATTTTTTTTTGACTCCCCATAGTCTTGTCTTTGGATTTTTTTGATGATAAAGTTAGAAAACAGTAGGGCTCATTGGGAGATATCAGGGGAGGCAGGTGGGAGTAGCAAGCCTGAGGAAGTGAGGGCCAAGGACATAGGGGAAGCCATGGGGGAGGTGAGCTAGTGTAGGCCCATTCAAGGATGGAAGGTGGTGCCAAGAAAACTACCTGGTCAAGCTCAGGACAGGGATTCTTGCATTCTCACATTCAGGGGTATATAAAGTTTTCTTGAGGGTTATCCTAACTGTGTTTTTGAAGGTTTGATTTTATGATAGACTTCTTCGGAGAAAAAAAAAAAAGTAGCTTTGTACCTTGTTGCCTTCCGCCAATTCCCTGTTTTTTTCCATGCTCTTTCATCCCTGTTTATGGAAGCTTTTCCTAAGGATTTTTGGCCTGGCCTAAGAAAATCCTGGTTGTGCCATCTTGTCCTCCTCCTTCTGTTCACTTCTTGCTCCTCTCCACTGAGCCTTCCTACCACAATCTGAAAATGGAAAGACATCGAGAGATGCTGTTATCTGTGTAGGATGACAGAGACTCTTTTCTGCCCCCCACCTTCCTTGCTGCCATTAATCAGTTAAGCGGCCTATGGTTTTATAACAGCACAGTCTTAAAATGTTTCTTCTAAGTTTAATTTCTTTCCTATTGGCCTTTTAAGGATGTGAATTGGCTTTAGGCTAGATTCCTTTTAGCATGGCCATGTGAGCTTCTCCATGAATCTGCTACACTCATCCCACTGATAGGTCCGGAGACTTGTCTGTTTTCCTTTCCTCTAAAAACTTAAAATATATTTTTAAGAAGTGACTGCCCTGTAACTTATCCATATAGCATATAGCCTTTCCTCCCCATTTGAGTAGGCTGTTTCTTATAAAAACTTGGTAGCTCTTTCTCAAAAGTGTTCTGTAGCTCTATTTTTAAAGCATAAATCCTGTCTTACTTTTGGAAGAGAACCGATTTGGCTTCAGTTTCCTCAGATATGGGAACTTCTAACCTAAGGTCAGTTTTTCACATTGTTGAAAGGAAACTCTGGGGTTCTAGAAAACATACTGACTGGAACTGGGTAAAGTTTGTTTCAGCACTGATTCTGAACTGCTAGCCATGTAACCAAGTTAGCCATGTGGCGTTCCATTCCGCGTCTCTAACGTGAGAGGATTAGCATAGGTAATCTCTATAATGGATGCTATAATACCATTGATCTGTTATATTAGCTAATATGTGTAAGGCACTGTTTTAAGTGCTTTCTTCCTCTTATAGTAGCTTTATTGAGACAGAATGTACATGTCATGCATTTTGATCTTTTAAAGTATACTGTTTAGTAGATTTTAGTATGTTCATAGATTTGTGTAACCATCACCAGAATCAGTTTTAGGATAATTTCTTTTTTTTACTCCGGAAGAAACCCCGTACTGTTATCAGTTATCCTCCATTTCTTATACCTCCCTCCCAGCTCTAGGCAACTACTGCTCTACTTTCTGTCCCTATGTGTCTGTTCTGGACAGTTCATGTAACGGAAGCATACAGTATGCCGTCATTATGACTGGTTTCTTTTACTTAATATAATGTTTTCAAAGTCTATCCATCTTGTATAAAAACATGTATTAGTACTTTATTCCTTTTCATGGCTGAATGATATTCCTTTGTATAGATTTGCCACATTTTATTTATCAGTTGATTGACATTTGGGTTGCTTCTGCTTTAGGGCTATTATGAATAATGCTGTTATGAACATTCTTTTATAAGTTTTGTGTAGATGTATGTCTTCATTTTTCTCGGGAATTTACTAATATGTCAGAACAGAATTGCTGGGTCACATGGTAATGCTGTGTAACCTTTTCAGGATCTGCCACTGTATTCCAAAGTGGGTACCCTATTTTATATTCTAACCAGCAGTGTGTGAGTATTCCAGTGTCTACATCCTTGCTAACACTTGTTCTTATCTTTCTTTTTGATCACAGCTATCCTCAGGGATGTGAAATGATATTTCCTTCTGGTTTTGATTTATATTTCCCTGATGGCTGATGATATTTAGCATCTTTTCATATGCTTCTTGGTCATTTATCGATCTTCTTTGGAGACTATTCAGATTCTTTACCCATTTTATAATTGAGTTATCTTTTTATTACTGAGCTGTAACAGTTCTTTATATATCCTATATACAAGTCTATTGTCAGATAATATGATCTGCAAATATTTTTCTCTCATTCTGTGGACTGCCTTTTTACTTTCCTGGTGATATCCTTTAAAGACCAAATGTTTTTAATTTGAAAAACTCCAGTTATCTGTTTTTTCCTCTTGTTGGTTGTACTTTTGGTCTTATTTAAGAAAGCTTTGCTTAGCCCATGTTACAGAGATTTACTATGCTTCCCCCCCACCAAGAGTTTTATAATTTTAGCCTTTACCTTTAGCTATCTGATCCATTTTGAATTAATTTCTGTGTATGAGGAAGGGTCCAACTTTATTCTTTTGCATATGGAATAGTTATCCCAGGACCATTTATTAAGTACTGTTTATATGTAACTCATTTAATATTTACAATAACTCTTTGAGGTACATCCTGTATATCCCTCAAGAAATTTTAAGTATCTTACCCACTTTCACTCAGCTATTGTATGGCAAGGCTGAAAGTTGAGCCTAGATAGCTTGGCCTCAGAGGCTGTGCTTAATTCTGTTACCTACCTCCTTACTTACCTGTCTGTCTAGGTAAGTTCTTTTTTAGGAAGAACTACCTAAAAAATAGTCAAGTCACAAAAAGCAAACATATTATTTCTTACCTGTTTTGGTTAAGTTTCTGCTTTCTTAATATGTCTGTGATTAGTGAGTTCAGTTAGTTGTAACAGTGGCTAATACCAAATCAGCCACAGTTTCTGTTCCTTGTAGCTTAGCTACAAGGGCTTTACTATCTCCCTGACACCCTAGGCCGCTATTTAGTCTTAGTTACTAGAGAGATCAAGTTCAGAGGAGGATGAGCATCACCAGTTCTAGCGCACCACCAGACCATACCAGGTCTAGCAGTGCTGGGCCAGGAGCCCATTGCTCCCAAAGCCAAAGAATGACTTTAACTTGAAAGAATGTCTTTGTGAAGAGTACTAAAGTAGGAACACAAGCCCTAGTTCTCATTCAGGGAGTGCTACCTGATGGGTCTAGAGTCAGCTTCACTTTCTTTTTCATAATTAGGGAAGGCCTTAAAAAAAAATCATCATTTTTAGGCTCATTAGCCTAATTCTATAACTTTTCGTACAGTTAAACAGAAATATGATATATGATAAATTTTTAGGAATTCAGGTGTATTCTCATAGTCTTTCTCAAGCTTACTTGAATTCATCTACTTGAATGAATTGAGTACCCAATACCTGGAGAAACACAATTTCCTTTTTAATTATTTCTATCTTCCATGAAGTGATTTCTTGGTAATTTTTTGACTACATGGTTTATGCTCATTTACTTGACTGACCATATTCCGAAAAGCAAGCCATGTTCTAATGCAGCAGAGCAGATTCAGAATACCACATTAACTGTCGGAAGGAATGAAGAAAACAATGTGTCACTAATGTCTGTCTCACTGACTAGACTGTCTAGTAAATACCATGGAAACAGGGACTCCATCTCTTGTAATCACTGTTATATCACCAGGACCTAGTGTAAGATCCAGTGATGTTTTCAGTGAATGAGAGGAACCTTAAGAGATATTTTGAGGAAGCCAAATACTTTAATCATATTATATTTCAAATAGGAGAATGTTCACTGAATATTGTCTTAATCCTAAAGCTGGTAGTATTCTAATTTATTAACTCAGGGGTTTGGTAGCCAGAAAAGAGAAAGGAAGAAGCCCAATATATGAATTACAGAAGACTACACTGTGGGCAGTTAGGGTGAGATTTAATGTGCTAGTTTCATTTTTCATATAAGGAAAAAATCAGGAGGAAGGAAGCAGTGCTATAAATTTAGAGAGGAGCATCAGGAATCTGAAGTGCTGGTAAGTTTAATTAGCAAAAATGGCACCCCATTTTCAGCCAGCTTTTAACATTTGTTTAGCAGTTTACTGATGATGTAGCGTTGGTAGCAATACAGAAGGGCAGGCTGCGTAAGTGGAATTCGCCTTGTTTTACAGATCAGAAAGCTGATTCAAAATTTTAACTTACTATGTATTAAACAGCTTGTAGGTGGGGAGGTTGGATCTTGACTCGTATCTTCATGGTTTAAATTCAATATTTTTCCTATGTCCTCCTGTTCTCTTCTCCACCTAGTTAGGAGGCCTCCTTGAGTAGTCATCTCCCTCCCCCTCCCAAAAGAAAAGAACTTCAATTTAATTAGGTAGTCTTTTTTCTGTTCTTCCCGTTAATCGAGTATGGAGCTGGGGAAAATCTAATATCCTGTTTTTTAGAACTAGTGAATATCTGTCCCATTTGGACATTTACCTTTCCTGGGATTTTATTTCAAGAAAACACTTTGAAATCCTGTGAGGGAACTATGAAGGCATGTCACTGGCATGAGTCACTTTCACTGCCTACCTGTGCTTCAGGCCAGGGAAGATTGGGAGATTTTTAATGTGAGGAGTCTGGGGTTGAGCAGCTGCTGGCTGGTGAACTGAAACCATGAAGCAGGTCTGTTCTGGCACCTGTGTCCTTTGGGAGAAGGGAAGGTTACTTCTCTGCTTAACAAGGATTCATCCTTTTGTTCTTCTCTTACCAGGTTTTGAAGGGAGCACCTGTGAGCGGAATATTGATGACTGCCCTAACCACAAGTGTCAGAATGGAGGGGTTTGTGTGGATGGGGTCAACACTTACAACTGCCGCTGCCCCCCTCAGTGGACAGGTATGTGCAGTGTGGTGAGTCTACCAGAGTAGGGTGTGAATTGGTAACCATGAAATCAGCACCTTTTCTAAATTATCTTGGGGCTGGTCTGGGAGCAGTGTGTGACTAAGTAGGATTTCCGTCCTAGATCATTGGATACAATGCTAATCCAGTATGTTCTTCTATGTTCACTCAAAGAAAGACATATTTTCACAGGTATTATTGGGCAGCTGCTGTGAACTCAGTATCGTGTGGCAGTAAGCTGATTATCTGGAAAAATAAGCATGCTATCTGTAACATAGTAGATCCTTAATAAATATTTAAGAGAAAAAAAACCATACTAAAATGCCAAAATAAATTGGATAGGCCACAAGAGCTCAGAGTGTATTGTTTGTTCATGGACAGAAATCTGTCCCATCATGTTGTTCTGTCCCATAGCCAGGCAGAGGGCTGCACAGGGACCCCTGGTGATGTCATTTTTATGCTGTCCCCCCTACGGTTCCATCTGTCTTCTATTCCTTTTTTCACACGGGACGAAGTTAGCCTTTTCTGCCTCTCACATTAGAAGAGTGCTCTTGCTTAATTTACAGCCTATTGGAAGTTTCTGACAGTGTCTTAATCAGGCATTTCACTTACTTTTCAAAGTTGAGTGATTTTATGCAGACATTTGGTTCTAATTTCTCTTTCTATCTATACCTGAAGGAAGAGGCAATGAAGAGTTATTAAAGGACTAAGGACTGAACCTTTCTGAGAGAAAATGATTGACTTAATGTGGAAACCCAAGAAATAAGTTAATATTATAAGAAAAAACTAACATACCAGAGATGGACTGTGTCCTGCAAAGAAGGCTTCATGTTGGATTGCCGCCATCACTGCCTGATACTCTTCAGCATCTCAGGATTGCTTTTCCTCATCTGTAGCGTCTGATAATTTAGGGAACTCTTGATAGCTATAAACTATGAATAGCAAAAGACAAAAAGGACTTCAGACTTCAATAACATGATTTCCTGGAAGGGACTACATTTCTGCTTTTAATCTTTAAACTGCCCTTTTTAATATTTTCCCACTGGTTTCCTTAGAATGGGACTTCCCCTGGAATTTCTTCATGGTGCCTTGATTCTAGGACTTTACTCATAATCCTCTGCTCTTTCTATCATATTCTTTCTTCCTCTAGCTTTGCCATTTCTATAGTAGATTTTTCAGAGGCTATTTTTTAAACTTAAAAAAATACTATAAAGTTAATTATATGACCATAAGTAGAAAGATTTGAATTTCTTTTTCTTTTTAATGATCTTCACAGTATTGGGAAAGATGAGATACTTGTTAGGAATTTGACCCTAGCTTAATCTACTTGTCCTGTGGGAGAGTAACTGTGTGGAACTGAGGCTTCTGATGCCACGAAGATCAAATGGCATTATAATTTCATTGCTGGTTTTTCTTTGATACCACACTTGGTTTTCTGCTTTGATAGTACTTAGGAAGGCCTACTCTTGGGGGAGACTTTTCCAGTGAAATGATACTTTATCAAAATTTCTTACCCCAGGAAGTTTAATAAATGCCTCTTTTCTATCAAAGTGCTTATGAAAAGTTTCTTTCTGTATCTTTTTTATATTTCTGGAAAGGGTGGCAGAGATCATAGATAAGTTTAATGTGGCGATTTTTATTTATTTTGATCTGCTCTCTGTCATTTAGAGTGACCCTCAGTTTTTGATTTTCTACTATAGTTTCCTTCCTCTTTTTCACTTTTTCATGCCAATTTTTTTTTTTTTCTTTTTGGAGACTAGGTCTTGCTCTGTTACTTGGAGCTGGAGTGTAGTGGTATTATCATAGTTCACAGCAACCTCAGACTACTAGGCTGAAGCGATCTTCTTGCCTCAGCCTTCTGAGTAGCTGGGACTATAGGCAACAGCTGATTTTTTTCTCTCTCTCTCTCTCTATCTGTCTTCTATTTTCCTCATCTGTAGCGTCTGTAGAGAGAGAGAGAGAGAAAATTTATATATATATAAAATTACTTTTTTTTGTAGAGTTACATTTATGTTGCTTAGGCTGTTTTTTTCTCTCTCTCTCTATCTGTCTTCTATTTTCCTCATCTGTAGCGTCTGTAGAGAGAGAGAGAGAAAATTTATATATATATAAAATTACTTTTTTTTGTAGAGTTACATTTATGTTGCTTAGGCTGTTCATATAAATTCTTTGATTTCCAGTGAGAAGCCTTCAGGCTGCCCCAGGTCTTTTGTCTATTATATAAAGCCCCATATGGTCCCATGTGCCTCCCTAGTCTCGTCCTCACCCATCCAACACCACCTCATACTCTGGCTGTAAGATCTGCTCCCAGTTCTGCTGTCAGTACTGCATCTTGTGTCTTCATTCACACTGCTCCTTTTCTCTAGGTTTCCCTTCTCTGCTCCTCACCATTTTTTGCCTGCCTGATGCAGATCAAGTGGTTACCTTCTTCAGAGTGCCTCCACTGACCTCTCTCCAGGGTGAGCTACGTGCTCTCCTCTGGACTCCCTTAGGTCCCCGTGCCTTCCTCTTTGGTAACATTCACCACACTTATATTGACGTTAGTATATGCTTGATGTGAAGGAGATACTAAGTTATGGGGTGGTTGAACTCTTGATGACAGTGGTTACCTACTACTCCTTACAAAACTTTGTTCTCAGTAACATGTAGCTGAGCTGCTTACCATCCCAGCCCTTACTTACCCATTGTGAAGAGAAGAACAGAAGAAAAGTTTTGTGTCATGGAGTTCTATTTCTATTGATGTTGGATCTACAAATTCAGATTAGTATTTTCTGCTTTACATTGAGCTGATTACCATTTTTTAAATTTTGTGCAGTCTTTGCAATAACTATAATAGGAGAATTTATTAAATATCCTTTTTATAAATGATGATGCATATCTAAAAGGGTTAAATAATTTGCCCAAGACACGTAGTGGCTGGGTTAGAGTTTGAATATAGGCTATTGAACTCAAAATCTGTGGTCTTTATTTCTATATAAAGTTGATTCTGTTAATTGCCTTGCCTATATTCTAAGGACTTTGGGTCTTTATAATGGATTGAAAATTCAATTTAAAATTTTATTATTCTAAGATTTGGTAATTTACTCTTTATGTTTTTCCTTTTTTAGAACCTGGTTGGTTACTTTGAGGTTAGAAGTTAACATTATGCGAATGTTTTATAATGTTTTATAATGCTTTTGTCACTATACCGAAGAATTTTATGAAAACTTTGTTCATAATCCCCTTTACAAGTTATACCTTAGAGTTTGGTCTGGCTTTTGACAAAATAGAAAAAGTCTAGTGGGATAGAAAATGAAGTTGCTAGTTATCTGAAACAGAATATGTGGGATTATGTGGCTGAAAACAAACTAGGCATTAATTTTAAGTAAGTGGAGATATGGAAATGTGCCTTATTTTTAATGAGAAGAGCCTCATACCTATGGTTTTCTTTAGTATGTGCACATACATAAAAGGCTAGGTCTTTTGTATTCAGTTCTAGACTTCAAGATGAGCAGAAATTTTGCCAGCTCTATTCATGGTCTGATTTGGGGTGAATATGTCAGTCAGAATACTTTTCTGCTTTGTATGAAACTATTATCTCTTACTTCATTGGGGTATTGGGAGAATCAACAATGCAATAGAAAGCTTTTGGCCATTTTGTTTATTAAGAAAACACCTATCATGCTAAACATTCTTGATTCCTGCTGTTCAGTGTGGTGGTCATGAGTTAAATCTTGCTATTAAACATCTGCTGTGTGGTTGGTCTGAACTGAGATGTCTTGTAACTGTATAATGCCTGATGTTGAAGTCAGCATAAAAAAAAGTAAAGTATCTTTTTAATGATGTTTAAATATTTAGATGCTAAAATAGTAATGTTTTAGATACATTGAGTTAAGTAAAATATAATATAAATTTAATTTTACCTGTTCCTTTTTACTTTCTTTTTAGTGACCACTGAAAAATTTTAAAATTGTATCTGTGACTCTCATTATATTTCTGTTGGACAGCATCACTCTAGATTCAAAGATGGTCTTTGGGTATTATCTCTGGAGCTGCTAAGTGGGAGTGTCCATTCTGACTCTCAGAGGTAGAGGAATAGACTTATAACCATTCCTAGGGGAGGTCTTGTGTTGGCATCACTAGAAAAAAGGATGTTGGCCTTGTACTGATTTGGTTCTGCATGATCTATGGCAGGCATCCTCAAACTATGGCCTGCGGGCCACATGCAGCCCGCCTAGGACATTTATCCGGCCCGCCAGGTGTTTTCCCGCCGCTGCCTGTCCTGTTTAGCAGCTGACACGTCCGGGGCCCTCCAACAGTCTAAGGGACAGTGAACTGGCCCCCTGTTTAAAAAGTTTGAGGACCCCTGATCTATGGGCAGAACTGTGTTGTAGCCCTAATTTAGGCCTTTTTACCTATAGTGGTTATGTAAATAGAGTTTCTTTTTGCCTCCAAAAATGACCAGTCTTCTGCACTAGCTTACGCTCAGGTAGAAAAAGTAAATTGGGGCTTGGTGCCCATAGCACAGTGG